CAAAGATGACTGCATTTGAAGGTATGTTTGAACCACGCATTCATTGATGGCATTAATGACAGATAATATGATTGGTGTCAGAGATGGGCATAATGTCGGAGATCGCAGAAGCGGTCGAACGCATGGAATGGACGTAAGTGTGGACTCTTGGGATCCACTCTATGAATGACATCTAATATAGCGTTGTATGTATTGAAGGCTTCCAACGGATATCCAGTCGGAAGCGATTCCACTGATTCTTGGCGGTGGAGACGTGTTGATGGCCGCAGAGACGGGCTCTGGAAAAACGGGCGCTTTTTGTCTTCCGGTTCTTCAGATTGTTTGGGAAACTATTTACGGTGTGATTGCTTTGAGTTGATTGCCATTTGAGATACATTTACTCAATGTTTGTCTCTTTTCACTGAAGACAATCACCCGAAAAAGGGTTCAAAGGATGGCCAAACCAAATGGCAATTGAGTCCAACGGATAGAGAACTGAATCTATCGTTGAGTGCCGACGGGTTGTCCGCTCAGAGCAAAGGAGATCAGCGATGGCAGGGATGTCGTGCCAACTACGGTGTCCAACGAGTAATCAATTGACAGATTATATCAATTATTTATTACTTTAAGTGAATTAATGCCAAAACTGTGATGTGATGTCTTATAGGACCCGACATCCAAAATGAATCGCTTCTACTTTGAGGTGCACTTCACAGACCCGGGTCTGGCACGGGTTGGCTGGTCTCTGGGCGGCGCTAACCTGGAGTTGGGTTGCGATAACCGAAGCTGGGGTTACGGCGGGACCGCCAAAAAGAGTACCGCAAAGGACTTTGCAGACTATGGACAGACATTTGGCGAGAAGTTTGATGTAATCGGAAATATAGTCGATTTGGACAACAATATCATTTGGTTTACTAAAGCGGGCAAAGACTTGGGAATCGCTTTCAAGATTGCGCCCCAAATGGCTGAACAGAATGTCTTCTTTCCAGCCATTTGTGTGAAGAACGCCGGCGTTTCGCTTAAGTTTACTGGTATTTCACACACGAGTCATGTTTAGCATTATATTCATATTATCGGTGTTATGGACTGAATTTAGGTGACAAATGTCCTTCAAATACCGTTTGGGTGGGAAATGCAACCCCGAGTCAAATGGCGTCCAACACAAGTGGAGGAAGTTCTGCGAAATCCAAGAACCAAAATATTGGTCCCAAAGCACTGATTGTAGAGCCGAGCAGAGAGTTAGCCCAACAGACCTTCGACTGCATCACACAATTCAAGAAACATTTGACAGGAGGAGGTGTGAGGCAGACATTACTCGTGGGAGGCATTAACGCCAGGGACCAAATGGAGTCTTTATCAGCCGGTGTGGACATCGTTGTGGGCACTCCCGGAAGGATTGAAGAACTCATAAATAATGGGAATCTATCGCTCAGCTCTTGTCGGTATGTCTAATGAATGAACAGATGATGAGTGAAATGTGTGGTAACATTGAATTGATATAATAACAGCTTCTTCGTGATCGATGAAGTCGATGCACTCCTACAACAGGGCAATGAGAATCTGTTGATGCGATGGCATTCACAGCTCCCGCGTATGTTTGACGACGGAAAGCGTCTGCAGATGATTGTGTGTTCGGCCACTTTACACAACTTTGATGTCAAAAAATTTGCCAATAAAGTCATGTATTTCCCCACTTGGGTCGACCTAAAGGTTTCTATCATATTTGAAATATTAATTGAGTGACATTTCGCTATACATTGATATCTGTGTTTAGGGCGAGGACTCCATTCCGGAAACTGTTCACCACGTGGTGTATAGAATAGATCCGCGACAGGACTCGAGTTGGAAATCACTTAAAACTTCTTATAAGAGCGATGGCGTTCACGCCAGGGATCACATGAATCATAACAGTCCTGATAGAGAGACATTGAGTGAAGCCGTCAAACTACTCAAAAGTATTTCACTACAAAGTGAATTTAACCTGATTAATTATAGTTTTCTATTTTGTTTTGTTTCATACTTGAGGTCATTATGTAGTGAAAGCAATCGATGCCCTAAACATAGATCAGGCCATCATTTTCTGTCGAACTAAACTCGATTGCGATTCTCTGGAGAATCTCTTCAATGCCATCGGCGGAGGTTTTTGTCACGAATTGTAGTTTTGAGTCCTTTTATCAATGATTTTATTATTTTTAGGGCCACGGAATCCAAACCATAAATATTCGTGTGTTTGTCTCCATTCTGACAGAAGACCCAATGAAAGGACCGATAATTTGAATAAATTTAAGCAAAAAAAGTGTAATTTTCTTATCTGTACTGACGTGGCCGCCCGTGGTATCGATATTAAGGGTAAGTTTTATTAATAATTTAAATTTAAATATACCGTTCTGTACACTATTTACCGGTATATGAATTGGCAAAATTCATTTTATAGGAATCCCATTCGTTATTCAAATGACTCTTCCGGACGAAAAGTCTAATTATTTGCATCGTATCGGACGCGTCGGTATGTATTTAACATTACGTGTATTTTAACAACAAATTGATATTAAATTTGTATATTTGTATGAATTTGAAAGGGAGAGCCGAACGAATGGGTTTAGCCGTGAGTTTAGTTTCCACGGTTCAGGAAAAGGTTTGGTATCACTCGAACTGCTCGTCTAAGGGGAGGGGATGTTATGAGACTTCACTGGTAGAACAGGGGGGCTGTTGTATCTGGTATAATGAACTTCAGGTGACAACCTCTAGAATATTGTGGACGAGTTCTTTCTATTTCTATTATAATTCTTATTTATGAATAGATTTTGGCTGATGTGGAGGACAATTTGAATTGCATTATAGACACTATTGGTTCGGATTTCAAGATACAAGTCAATGATTTTGACGGCAAAGTCACCTATGGGTCCAAGAATACGGGACAGAGATATACATATAATGATCACGTGAACCAAATGGCCGGTGAGGTGACACAACTGTCCAAATTAGAGACTTCCGCTCAAAACAGTTTTCTTAAGTTCTATTTCTAATGAAATATAATATTTGTAACCAATATTTGGAATAAAACTATTTATTAAATACTCAACACTCTAATCATTTATTCAACATTCAGTAATTGTTATAAATTGTAAGAATTTCACAACAAAGTGACCCTATACCCTTTAAATAGAATTATTTTTTGTGTAGGTTAAAATGGTGCTTTAAAATATACGGTATATATTACTGTATAATATTATACTGTACTATACATTATTTCGTATGTGTTTATCTACGGTAACATATTGTAAGTTAGTATATTATACAGTCGTTTTAATTTATTATTTCAACTCAATTTATACAATATAGCCTTCATTTCAATCGAATTATTTTTAATTATTTTTTTCAGACGATAAAAAAATATATGAAATTACTATTGATTTGTTGAATAATTGTTTTTAGTTTTTGTATAAGTGTTGCGAATGCAGTGATTATCTAAAAAATCGATTGAATCCAATGCTAGAAAGCAATTACACAAGTTTTTTAAATGAATGAATGTTTGCATTCTTTTTATCTTTTTTGTGATAAATGAATGCAATTATAAGAAGCGAATTAGAATTTTGTACAATTCATGCATAAGTTTTGCTAAATTCTTATTAGAGATAAGAAAGAATTCTGTGAAAAACATTTTATATTATATTATAAAGTATATAACAAGATATAAGATAATTGAAAAAATAGCATATTTATAATTATATGGAGCGACACAAATAGTTATGGGTTTTATAATTACCGTTATTTGAATTTTATGTGCACTGTACAGTAAATTCCAGTGTTTTTAGTTTACCATATTATATTTTTACAATGACCGCATATACTGTAATCTGTACAATAGAATTTTAAGAATATTATTGCAGTTAAAAATTATTATTTGTTACTTGAAATTAGACAACAATTATATTTAGTTTAAGTTTTCAATATTTATTCGTAGTATCAGTGAAAATGATTTTAAAAATAAAATTGAGTTTTTTGACAAACGTTTTCGGGTCAACACTGTGACCATCTTCAGGGCTTAAGATGTTATAAGATATGAGAATATGATTTCACTAATGAATGTTATTTGAAAACAATTATATTTATTTAAAGGTAAAAGATTTTAATAATATAATATTTTAATATACAGTATTTTATATTTATAATGCTAATTAATTCTTTATCATGAAAAAATATTTTATATAAATAAATAATAATAATTAATATATTATTACAAGAATTGCATTAATATATTTTATTACATGTAATGTAAAAAATAAATGTAAAAAATATTACATTGCAATGTACACTGTACATTGTATAGTATAAATTCTATACTATACAATGCATAATAGAATTTAGCAATAATGAAATTAGCAATGATTTACTAAATTTATTCTTTAAATAATTTATATGTATTGATACTGTAAGTGGTTATATTGAGTTAAATAATTAATTTTTATTTAGGTTATAATTGAGAGAATACTTGCAATATCTTATTCTGAAAATTCTCTTTATTTGCAACTTTTTTTTGTAATAAAATTGCATTTCTTGAGATGTGCTGACCCTTAGGATTAAGCTCTCGATTCTATCCTTATTTGTGAGCCTTTCGGCGATAAAGTTGTTTTGCGAACGAATCGTATACTTATAGAGTATTGCGTTTATGACTATCACTAAAGATAGTGAACACAAACTACACTGTATTTGCTTATGAGTGCCAAATAATCTTATCTTACAAGTTAGCAAAATATGCAAAAACACCCTCAAGTTTGCCAAACTTTGCGACCACATAAACAGGCAAAGTATGGTAAATAGAATATTCTATAACTCAACTATCACATGTAAAAAGTCTCAGTTTGAGCATAGTAAGTTGCTATATTAAGAATAGCAATTATTTTTCAAAAATTTAAAACTAATGTTAACAAAATTAAAACGAATAAATTTTATTTAATTAAGTTTTGTCACAAAAGATACTAAAATAGATACTCGATGATAAATATAAGAATTAGTTTTTTAAAATTCCTATTTTTAGTAAATTAAAGGTTTTTTTTCTAAAACAAAGGTTATAAATCTTGATCTAAACTTTGAAATAAGAAATGCTTTTAAAAGAATACTTGAAATGTTGAGTCTTTTAAAAATGAGACAACGATTTCTTCGGACAAAAATAAAGATTTGTTTTAAATTTAGTTTTTTATCAAGTGTTAGGCGAATAGCTAGTCGTAGAGCTTTTGAAAGGTTTATATGATTTGACATTTTGATGAATTATAACGAAACCCATTTCAGCTATTGATTCAAACCATACATTGGAGACTTGATTTGCTTTATATTTATAACTCAAACCATAGGTTTTCTAAAATACATTAATTAAGAAATTAGGTAAGGTAATTAAGCATGATTCCTTATTACAGTAGCAATATTTTTTTGTATTAATGTAGAATAATTAAAAATGTATTATTACATTTGAAATTGTGTTAATAGAAAAATTTATAATTAAAATCTTTAGAAATAAGTAACATTATAATTATATCATTTACATTAATATAAATTATTTTTAATATTGATATATAAATTTTAATTTGCAAGTTTAACTAGATTTTAATCAAGTAAATGCTAATAAAACTTTATAAAAGTTAATTCTATAAAATGTATAAATGTAAAAAATGTTTTATAGTTAATAAATCTTAAAATGAAATAGTAATGATTGATAATAAAATAGAGTATATCTTATTTTTTAACAGGACTGAACTCTAAACTCATAATCTGTTACATAAGTCTAATATAAGTTATATAACATTCACTCTACTCTTTAATAGAGTTTATTATGAGAAAAGTTTATGAACGAAAACAATACAACTCCGAGAATATGACTATTATTCGAGTGCTTAAAAGAATTCTCGTTTTCTCTCAAATTATCCAAACTTTCCTTACAGTTCTGCGTCAAAAAGTCTGTGTTTGTGATACATCTCATACTAGAGGAAAGTTTGTGAGAAAACATTAACAACTTTGAGTCACTTATAAAGTTATGTGAAGTTGTGTTTTGGAAGCGAAACAAAACAAATCCAGTCTTAAAACTGATGAGAATTGTTATGAACACAACCGTATAGCCAGAGAAGTGCCGATAATAAGTAGTGTATTATATATCGCGTATACAATCATAAAAATGATACTTTAAAATCCTCTCAGAGATTGGCTTTTTGGTGATTTTGCTGGTCAACCCATTTGAGAGGGGATTTGATGCCATTTCTTGGATTTGGACTATTTGTACAAATATTAAACTATTTTACAAAATTGTCATTTGAGTGACTCAACTAAAGCCAACCGAACTTATAGTTTGAACACTTCTGAAGCAATATTTATCATTTAATATCTCGTATCAAATCAGAGGAGGGGAGGGCCGGCATATAGAGGACAACTAATGCAAGAGTGATCGTTAGGCAACGTTCCCGTTGTACTGCTTTTCAAACGGTGCAGCGATATATCAATGAGAGTAACCATTATTCAGTTGAGACATATCTATTGTAAAGTAGGGTCGACTCGTTAGCAAATGAATCGCAACTTTTTTAACGCCTAACCCACCGATCATTGGGCGGTAGAGAAATGAGATTTGCTTTTTGTGTGATTACTGATTACATTCATCTTTTTTTTGCTTATTAGACAGGAATTGCCTCACATTTACACTGTTTTTCGAGGGCTCACTAACACATTAGTAGTATAAAAAATTGTATACGATAGGCCTTCATGAAACCTATTCATTAATTAATTTTGTACATAACACATTAAATATTCAGCAAAATCATTAGGATATTTGTATAAGTATTATGTGTTTTATTATAATACAGTACAGCATTAATATTCTATATTGAAATCATTTTGAATTTTATGCTAAATGTTCAAATACTGTATATAACATGATTATTGTCGTAGTTTATAAATTATTATTTATTTCAAATATGTTTTCAATATGTTCTTGATCAGTTTGAAAATGTTGAAAATTGTTCTTTAATTAAAAATTTAAAAATAAGATTATATTTAATAAAAGATTGACTAAATGAACAAACTATAAATTATTTACAAAGCTAATTTAAAGCAGACGTTAATGTATTTAATAATAAAGTCAATAATTATTGAGTAAATTGTGATAAATAATGAATGACTTGTAGTCTAATTGTGTTGCAGTTCGTGGTATGAGTGGTATGAGTGGTGTGTGCGGTGTCTGTGTGTCTGTGCGAGCGGTGAAGTGGTTGAGCCCAATGTGAAGCGAGTGTTCGGTTGCGCACGCATTGACTGAATTGTTGAACACAAATGTGTTTCCAAACACATGTCTTGAGTATCATTTGGTCTATTGGTGTCGTGACATATAGTGTGCGCTTTGTTTTAATGTCCATATCTTTGTTAGTCCTCCAGAGACTGCTCTTACATAATGCTATAATAGAGTATTAGTCTGTCATATGAATGAAAGCCAAAGACTTCTCTTTCTCTATTTGATAACAAAAAATAGTTTTGAAAGTTAGATAACTGTCCTCTCATTGAGTCAACGGTGTTGAGAGACACGAGTAATGCCAACGACTTTCGTATAATTGACTCCTATTTCAACATTTGGTAAGTTTTTACAAATACTTTTGTCCATCACTTCTACTTCTTAAGACAACTTAATCTCAATGTATATATGTTTGCGAAATATTGATTACATTTTATACACTCCTAACCTATACTACAATACAATTGAAATGAAGCAAAACTGTGCAAAATATAAGCAAAAGAGTCTTTTCATGCCTCTTATTAATGGTAGTCTTGTTGTTTAAATGATTGCAATTTCTATGAACATCTGCCGCACAGTTATCTTTTTGGGGACATTATTTTGATTATTAACTCCTGAGTACTGAGTATTCAATTTTCTTAATACAGTGTTTATTTTGCAAAACATTGGTTTTGTTTGTAAAACAAATCAAACATTTAATTGAATAAAATTGAATTAAGGGACTGGTATGGCATTGTGAGCCAAGACTAATTTATCAATGAGACCATTGGATGTGATGTGAAGGACTGGGAATTAAAGAATCCGATAATGTCTGCCATTG